ACGTAACAAAATACAATTAAAATATTGGAGCAGCAAAAAACATCAGACGAAGATAACAGGCTATACGCAATGTATGAATAATAATGTTCGTGTGCAAAATGTGTACTATATTGGTAAATGCATATTATTATAGAATAGTAAAATAATATCTTTTATTTCTCTCCATTTAACGACCACTTTTTATAACGCCGAAAAATGTTCAGTCCCTTAAGTGTCGTTATATAGAGTTTACACTGTATATGTTCTTAATCATCATAATAGACGACTTTTAGTAAAAATATGGGAACCTTAGAGAAAAGATGCAGGGATTGACGTTTGTGATTAGAAATCCTTGTCTTACTTTAACTTTAATCAGCTGATGCAGCAACAAACAAAAGATAACATGTAACATTTAAATATTCTGACATCATTTTATTTTTAGTGCCTACCAATAGGAATTTTAGATAGTCCAAAAATTAACAATTGGATTAGTCGGGATTAGTCATAGTTGATTAAAGAAAAGATTGCCTAATTATTAGATAATATAATCATACTAATTAGATACCTTATATCCATCTTTTTCTTTCTTTGTTGAAACTGCCGATGAGGTGACAGTGTTGTCCGTGGCTTTCTTCAAATGGGGCCTCGACCTTAGTCTTACCCTGTTTACGCTCGGTGAAACTTCTTGATCTGATGAGGATGAGGACTTGCGTGTGGCATGAGGTCTTCGAAGTCTCCGCCTTCCAACTGCAAAAGCAACATTCTCTTAATACACTTGTATTAAATAAAAAGTATATTGCAATTGGCTGTCATCTACTACAGAAAATGTTGCTATTTAATAATAAGAAAAGTCTATAAGAACACTGAGTCTTTTCTTGTTACTTAATAAGTAAGACACTTTATGACACAAAATTGTAAGAAAACTTTGGAGTAAAGAGGATTCTTTCAGAAGGACCTAACTTTAACTTTGGCTTTATTCAAATTGAAATGTAGCACTACCCCGGGAAAGTAAAGCATTTCAGAAGAAAAACCACAATTAAAACACTTGGTATTTTTCCTATTCTTGGATAAAGTCAATAAAACTATCTTGTATTGGATAATCCTAAAGAGAATCCCTGGCTTACTAGGAGAGAGAGTTCCTTTTGGTGTCCTAATGAGCATAAGTACGATAATTACCAAATTCACAATGCAATTTGCTTAATTTGATTCTTTCTGTATGTTTATCTATATAATCCGACAAAGTCCATCTTAGCGAAATAAGTATCTTATCAAAGAAAAAGAAGTAAACAAAAATTGTTCATTAATAAATACATAACGTAAAATTCCATTTTCAAAATCCTGAATAACAGAAGTACGCATGAATGAAGCTGTCTTTTTGAAATTCTACAAGTTTAAACATTGAAATAAGCGAAAAGCTGTGCTTAAATCATTTACTATCTTTTAGCTCGTTGGGAGTAAATTCATTGCATGCAACGGAAGCAGCGTGCGCATCGTGCGGTGGAAACTGCGCAAGCGCTAACGATAATTTCGACTCCATGTGACTAGTTTGAGGGCGGCACTAAAACTTGTGGCTTTGGTCTCGGTGGTCGCAGTTCTTTACAGTTTCCACCCTGACCATTAGGGGCAGCAGTGCATAGTGATATTATTAAAAAAAACATTTGGCCCATTAACAGCCAAACTGGTCACATTGTGTTTTACTTTGTTTTTAATTTATTTATCATCTCCAGACAACTAATTAATCAGTTTATTTAAATAGAATCAAAATCGTCTAGGTAAATTACTCTGGAATCCAACCAAAGATAATTTTGCGATACGTAATTGTCCGTGGACCATTGTTTCCAAGCTAATCTACCGATCGTGTCTATTATTAAGCTAATTAACGCACGTTTTAGTTCTTTCAAGGTTAGAAACTAATTGCTCATAAAACACTACTTCACGTTCTACTTTTTATTTTGCCCTGATTCCGTATGCTAAACGAATATTAAACTGTGTACTTATATGCAGACACATGCCTGTAGACATTCATGAGTGAAAGAAAATTTATTATTCTCGAGGTCGTATCTAACCTCGAATAACTTCAACAATAAATGAATAAATGAATGAACGAGGAAGTCGAAAATTATAAATAAATACTAGCTAAAATGTACAAAGAACAAAAGAAAGTTTCACTTTTCCTTATAATAAACGTCACAAAACTGAACAGAGAAAAAAAAAACAGGTGAATGATATACTTATGTACCTACAAGACTTTTGAATAATTAACAATACGATATTATAGGGTTGTTCGGAAAGTCATTTCGTTTTTTCCCGACAGAGGATTTAATTGTATTCTTTTGCACCCAACTTCACATTTAAGCCGTATAATTTTTATATGCTTTGAGAGCTCATATAGCAAGGCTTGTGTGTGAAAAATTCCAATTAATTGTACGCAGTAGTTTTTGGTTGGTGCCCTTTTAAATATGGAGAGCGATAAGCAGCATTTTCGACATATCTTACTGTTTTACTACAGAAAGGGTAAAAATGTTCAAGCCAGAAAGAAATTGACTGATGTGTATGGAGAAAGTGTGTTGACAGTACGTCAGTGCCAGAACTGGTTCGCTAAATTTCGATCCGGCAATTTTGATGCCCAAGATGCATCACGTTCGGGAAGGCCCATTGAAGCTGATAAAGACGCGATAAAGGCATTAGTTGATGTTAACCGGCAAATTCTAACACGTGAGATCGGATTCAGGTTAAATTTATCAAATTCAACAGTTTATGACCACTTGAAAGGCCTGGGATTATCCTCGAAGCTCGATGTATGGGTT